AGGCCCACAGAATAACTGTAAGATGTCTGCTGACTTCCTGCAGAGACCCCATCCTTGGTGGTACCCTTGGAAGACCGCATGGTGTCAGTGGGAGAAACGGTGGCCCTCCAGTGCAAAGCGACCGGGAGCCCTCCGCCCCGCATCACCTGGCTCAAGGGGGACCGCCCACTAAGCCTAACCGAGCGGCACCACTTCACTCCTGGCAACCAGCTGCTCGTCGTGCAGAACGTGGTGGCAGAGGATGCTGGCCGATACACCTGCGAGATGTCCAATGCCCTGGGCACAGAGCGTGCTCACAGCCAGCTGAGCATCGTCCCTCCCCCTGGCTGCAGGAAGGACGGGACCACCGTGGGCATCTTCACCATTGCCGTGGTGTGCAGCATCGTCCTGACATCGCTGGTCTGGGTGTGCATCATCTACCAAACCAGGAAGAAGAGTGAGGAATACAGTGTCACCAACACAGGTCAGGCCCTGCTGGTAGAAGGGATCTGCAGGGAGGAGGAAAAGCAGTGGCATTTGTTAACAAGGACAGGTCCAGAGCTTTTTCAAGAATTTTAGTTTATTCAGAACTCTGGAACCTTTGGAAATGTGGTGTCATTCTGGACAGTGGAGGCTTTAGTCCCATTGACCCCATTTTAACTTTCAGGAACTTTAAGTGGGAATACTCTCAGATAAGGTGCATGGTGAACTCTGCAGCATTTTAGCTGCTTGGTACCTTAGAGGCGTCCTGGGCACATGCTTTGTTGCACATGGTGGACACAGACATCCAACTGCCATGTTTTTTATACCTGGGCCTAAAGTCAGGCCAAGCAGATTTGGGGAGGGCTTGCCCGGCCTTGATGGCCATTGTTGGGGGATCCTGTTTCTGGGCCTGACGATGAGTAAGTGTCTGCATTTCTTGCCTCGTGTTTCATTGTCCTGTTTCCTTGCAGATGAAACCATCGTGCCACCAGATGTTCCAAGCTACCTCTCTTCTCAGGGGACCCTTTCTGACCGACCAGAAACTGTGGTCAGGACCGAGGGTGGCCATCAGGCCAATGGGCACATTGAGAGCAATGGTAAGGCCTCAATGACCATGAAGCAGAGATCTGATGTGAATGTGTCCTCAGCACAGGTGCCTGCCATTAGATGGGGCACATTTGATGAACTAGAGGGCTGTGTGACTGAAGGCTTCTGTTGTTTTATTTTGGACCTGATCTGTGCAAATTCTGCAAGGTTTTAAAGTATATCCCCATGAAGTCACTGTACTGGGCTTAGCATCTCCCAGTCAGGGTAAGGTAGGACTGCCTGGAAGCTGCCAAGAACATTAGAGGTCATGAAACCAACCCATTCCTGGTATAGGAGAAGTGCCAGGTCTGTTCTGTCTTCCAGTCTCATATTAGAAAGCTCTCGCAAAAGCAAGCTAGTTCCGACAGTGGAGGACTCAGCACATACTTGGAGCAGAAAGTTTATCCTCTGAGAACTGCTCATTTAACATGGCTCCCAGTGTAGACAGGCCTACCTGCTTGGGAAGGTAGAATTAGAAAACATGATCTTTGAGGCTTCCAGTCAAGATGGCAGAATAGACAGTCCCCAGCATCACTGTCTCCCACAAATAGGAGCAAGGAGCCTCGACAACTGAAAAAAAGGAGCCACTCAGAGGCCAGGGAGTCATCACAAGGGATCAGCGCACAGCCCGTCCCATGGGAAGTGTTTGCAGCACGGGTGGTGGGGGAAACGGTCCTCCCAGGAGAACACTAGAACACAGCAAGGACAGCTGACCCGTACCCCAATCAGTGCAGGACCACTCAGAGGAGACTGGTTGGGAATGCAGAATTGCATGGGGTGCAGTTTGATGACAAGACTCAGGCCCGGATCAGAGTTTCTACACAACCCAGGTGCACTGGGTCTCTGGAGAGACGAAGTACCTATAAAGTCAACCATTAAAACCTGAGCTGCACAAAAAGCTTTCACTACAGAATCAGCAGCAAAGCAGCAATTTACCTCAACCACAGAGCTCAAGTACTGGTCCCCACAGGAAGTTCCCCCACTTTAGAAGCAAGCAAAGAACTAGTTCTGGCCCCACCCAGGGTCCTGGGTCATGGATCCGGGGACCATAGCCCCCTCCCACAACCAGGCACACTGCCAGCACCAAGGAGCATGCCAAAAACATCACCTCCATGGGGGTGGCCCACCATAGCCACTACAATAACCATGGCTGCCACGAAAGTGGCTAGACACCACAACCACTCTGCAGATGGTCCACCAACCACTGGAGTGCATTGACACAAGAAGAGTCACCAGCAGAGACCAAGGAAAAGAAGATGTCTCTACAAAGCCCATTCCAGAGTGACAGAACAAGCATCTGCTCTACATAATACTGGGGGACCTGAATACACCTTTCAGCATTGTACAGATCATCTAGGCAACAAGTCAACACAGTAACCATTACTCTTTCAGAAGGAGAGAAGAAATCTAGGGTTATCAGAGGTGGGAGGGGGAGGGGGAGAGATTGGGCAAGGGGCATAAAGAATAAGTACAATTTGTAACTATATATGCTAGTGATATTGATTTGGTCAACATGTCAACATTGAACCCCAAGAATATGTATAATCAAATCTGACTCAATTAAAAAGAAAATTACCCTTTGAATCAAATTTGAAAAAGTAATGAACAGCCTTGAAATATACACTTGCCAGTCTGCATAAGTCCATAGCAGGGCTTAGATTTGGATAAGCCATTTGCAGAATTTTAAAAATGATTTTTAAATTACTACTACTATTTGAATTAGTTATAAAAGGACTTTTAAAATACAATTGTTTGGTAAATTATGGTAAGCATAGAGCAAAGATGAGTTCTATTAGGGCTGGCCTGTGGCTCACTTTGGAGAGTGTGGTGCTGACAACACCAAGTCAAGGGTTAAGATCCCCTTACCAGTCATCTTTTAAAAAAATAATAAAAAAAGATGAGTTCTGTTTATTATTAGCATATTGTTTATAAAAATGTTTTTTTTTTTAATTAAAATGCTGACAACACCAAGTCAAGGGTTAAGATCCCCTTACCAGTCATCTTTTTAAAAATAATAAAAAAAGATGAGTTCTGTTTATTATTAGCATATTGTTTATAAAAATGTTTTTTTTTTTAATTAAAAAAAAAAAAAAGAAAACATGCTCTTTGCTGGACCTCTTGGTTAGCCCAACCCTCTACCACTCTAAAGAACATTTTCTTTAAAATGACTCCATTCTACCAGCCCCTTCCTTTCATAAGGCTTACTGTGAATTACTAAGCCCAGAGTGTCTAATAGTGGGGAATCTATTGCAGGTGTTTGTCCAAGGGACGCAAGTCTCTTTCCAGAGGTTGACACTCACGGCATCACATGCAGGCAGCCAAAGCTCTGCGTTGGATTCACTAAAGAGCCATGGAAAGTGCCGGACAAAGCCGACGGGCCACCTGGTCCACATAAGACAGGTATGAGATGCTTTCACTGGGAAGAATAGTTTCTTGAAATCAAAGTTTGGGTTGACCTACTACTCACTAAATGGCAGGGGAGAACATTATTGGTCTATGACTATCTCCAAATTTGGTATCTAATACAAAAACAGAAAGCTCTGGGCCAGCTCTCAATTCTAGAACAGTGTGATGAGCTTGAATATGCATTTTCTGGATTTATAAGCAATTTAAGGGGCAAGGCCCAAATAAAATGTAGCATTGTAGTCAGTACCTTTTCACCAGGGCTTGTTTGAGGCTAAATTTCTAATTATTCAGAAGACTCTTAACATTGCTTAATTCAAATGGGATTCTTTTTTTCTGCCATCAAAGTAGTAGGACTCCATTCTCTGAGAATGAAATTAACTTAATCTGGAACATTTAAACATGAAAGACCCCATTCTTCATTAACAGCTTGGTGTTTGCCAAGTCGTTTCTGTGAACGTACTTTGCAGGGGAGGTGGGGGTTGCAGTGGGTGTAAAGAGGGTTCTCACTTTATGGTAGTGAAGCAAAGCAGCCTGTTCCTTGTGTGGGGAGGGAGATTTCAGTGGCGATGGCTCTAATCCGTCTTTGGCTCTGTCCTTCAGAACACAGTGGCCCCGTTGTCTGTAGTGACTGCAACACTGACATGGCCAGTTACCCCAAGGAACAAGCCTTCTATCCTCAGCCTGGGTCCAGAGACAGTACACAGACAAGTACACTAAGTGGCCAGGAGCCCAGTCCAAGTGACCGAGAACATTCTCCACCTCATCCGAGCAGTGGGACTGTTGATGGGTCCCACCCCGACTGCAGGGGGTCCCTCTACCCCAGTAACCACGACAGAATACTGACGTCCTTGAAAAAGCCAGTGGCATGTCGAGATGGAAAAGGTAACTTTTCACTGTCTTCTGAGGAGTCGCTAGCTGGCACATCAGGAGCCACTTAAGTGGTCAGGCTGGAAGGTCTGACATGCCCTCTCTTTTCTCGTAGGGGATTCTTCCTGGACTTTAGCAAGGTTGTATGACCCGGACTCCACAGACCTACAGCCTTCATCTATGTTAACTTCAGGCAATCCAGAGGTCACAGAAGCTTCCTCAGGCTTTCCTGATGTCCCCAGTGAAGCCCAGCACTTGCTTGTTTCCAATGGCCACCTCCCCAAGACATGTGACTCCAGTCCTGAGTCCACACCACTGACAGGACAACTCCCTGGGAAACGGAGGGGGCCACTGTTGTTGGCAACAAAAAGCTAGGCTTTGTCTACCTCACTCTTGTCACACCAATCTCTACAGGAAAGAGAGGTAGGAGAGGCTGTGTGGCAGCTTGGGTTCAAGCGTCACTGATGTGTATATAGTTTTCACTTCCATGTGGAGTACTAGTAGTTCAGAGGCCTTGCATCTGAAGCACGAACATGCAAGTGTACAAAAGGCAGAAAGTATTTGATACCGTTGTACATAAGAGTTTTCAGAGATTTCCTATATATTATATATCTTTTACAGAGGCTATTTTAATCTTTAGTGCATGGTTAACAGAAAAAAATTACACAATTTTGACAATATTATTTTTCATATCAGGTTGCTGTTTAATTTTGGAGGGGGGTGGGAAATAGTTTTGGTGCCTTACTACATGGCTGGAGTTTTGGGTGTGTTGGGAAGGAGGGGAAGTCCTTGGATTTGTATTGCACTTCTAGGACAGACCCCTAGGCTGCTTTACATCACAGACAGACTTCATTTGCATCGGAAGTAACTTCATATCAGCGTTGCCCATGTGTGGATGCTCACGCAGCAGACTTTCTTGTAGCGCTCAGAGGGGCAGAGGTCATTCACCATTGCAGTGAGACACTCTTCCTTTTTAGGTGTAAGTTGTTTCTTTAAGGAATAGAAGGAGGGTTGTTATGTGTGGATGCTCACGCAGCAGACTTTCTTGTAGCGCTCAGAGGGGCAGAGGTCATTCACCGTTGCAGTGAGACACTCTTCCTTTTTAGGTGTAAGTTGTTTCTTTAAGGAATAGAAGGAGGGTTGTTAATCCACCACAAGCAACCGATCGGAACAATTAAGCATGCCTTTCTTCCTTCTCTGAAGCTCATTTGGTGATAAAAGCAAATGTGGTCTTGTCAGTATCATCCAATTGTTATTTGAGGCTGCTGGTGTTGGTACCTGTGGATTTTTCAATAGCAGTCTTTTAGTTCTGCTAATATAATTAATATTACATTGGCCTCGGGGGATAAAAAGGATAAAGTCTTTACTTTTCAGGGCTAGCTTATTTCTACTGAGGATCCAGAGCAGGCCTGTCCATGCCATTCCCTTGCACAGAGGGAATTGGGCTCGGACTGTGCAAAATTTAGCCCTTGATCTGGGTTCTGGGTATATTTGCACTTTTGAGACCTATAACTAACCATCTTGTGAGTGCCAATGTGTAATTCAGTAACAATTACATTGAAACAAACAAGGTCCTTCAAACCTCAGAAAGCAAGTTCCTTTAGCCAAAAGGCTGAAGGGAGGCATTGACAAAATGGTTACTGATGTGAAATTTTACTGTCAGACGTCATCACTGTTCCAAAAGGTAAAGCACATTTAGAATTTTTGTTCTCAACAGTGAACTAATGTTACTTCCACAAAATATGTGAATTTGCTGCTTCTGAGAGGCAATGTGAAAGAGGAAGTATTACTTTTATGTACAGAGTTATTTATTTATAGAAATTTTGGTACAATGTACATTGAAAAACATGTAAAATATTGAAGTGTCTAACAAATGGCATTGAAGTGTCTTTAATAAAGGTTCATTTATAAATGTTAAGTGTATGGTTGGGGTTGTTCTTCTACTTACATTCATCCCACTTAATTCCAGATTATCTTTTTTCTCCCAACAAGGAAAAAAATTGAGGCAAAGCAGACTTATATACTGTTGCTCCAGGGAAGACACAACACTGCTGGATTCCTGAGATTTCCCTCCATTTTTCTACACCTGGAGCTAGTTAGTCAAGCTCAAAATCTGGTGACCTTTCTATTTCATGCCTTCGGCTTCCAATGTTGAGCCTAAAACTTGAGCAGACAGTGCAAAGCTAGCTCAGGCCTTCCTTTCAGCCTGAAATAGAACAGTGCGGTATGACTCGGTGGCCCCACCCAGTCACCTGAGCCACAGCTAACTTTCTCTCACACAACACACGGGTTGTCGGATGCTTCTCTGTAAAATAATACAATCGCATGTTTTTATAGGTGAAATCTGAGGGTAATTAAAAACAGCAGCCTGGTTACCCAGAAAGAATGCTTGCTATGCACCTGTAGTTCATTCTTGTTAAATAAAGCTATAACCTCACACAGAGGAGTTAACCTGCGGGAGAAACACCCACATACACAACTTTTTCCCCACGGCTCCCTCCTCCTCTCAATCTAGCCGTTTTTTTAAAATTATAACCTTCTGCTGAATCCACCATCAGGCGGCAGGAAATGAAGATCAGATAGAGAACAAATGAGAGCTCCTGAAGGGCCTGGCCTCCGCATCCCCAAAGTTATTTATTCAGGGGTTCTGAGAAAATTGTTCAGAGTACTACCCTAGACATAGTTTTTCTCTCTTTCTTAACTTTCTGGCATTTAGGCTGATGACTTCATTCCAGCCAGCCTGTACCATGGGCGACACATTCTCAAGTTCGTAGTCTTAGCAAATCTGGACTTTAGCACTGGCGCCGAACAGCTGCTCACCAGAAGGGAGGGTTCTCGAGCAGTCCCCTTTCTTGAGAGCCGTAGATGGGAGGCTGCCTCTGCATCACGGACTCTTTCTGCCAACTTCCAATAGCAAGCCGCGCGTCTGGTCATAAGCACCTAGAAAGATGAAACCTCCCAGACTGATTGCTGCCATTCGAGGGAAGACACCTGCAAATAATCTAGGGGAAGAAAGACAAGAGGAAAGATGTTTGTTTGTGTAAAAACAGGTTAAATTCTAATTCCCACAGCTTGCTCAACTCATCAGACCCTGCTCATTAAGCCCCGCACAGCACTTGAAATGTGTTTTTTCCTTTTAGAATGGCACTAAATTACATTCCCAAGTAGGCTTGTTGAAGTTTAAGCCCAGCTGTTTGTCAGCTAAAGTGGTCAAATACCAAACAGCTCTCTTGTGAACACTCACAATCAAGTAGTGACTTTATCCCAACAATAGTTCTCTAACACTTTTGGACCGTTGTTTTCCTCTTAGAGATGATAGAATCAAGTTTTTAAAAAAGGAGTCAAAGGCCTGAATCCTGGGTAAGGCTGGAGGGCACTTCCCCACCCAGAGGTCGAAGGGGAGCTCTGGGAGTTCAGGAAGGACAAGGAGACTTTCTGACTACTCTGCTGCTCCTCCCAGTGACTCAGTCACATTCTGTCCTTAGAGACCCACAAATGTGATGCCACGAAAAGGAATCACATCTCCACGGACTCCATTTTCTTTTTGTCTGAGAACATGAAAGGTGAAGGGGCACAGCTTAGAAAGAGCAGCACTTCCACACATGCTCAGTCCCCAGCACTGCAGAAGGCTGGTGACCTGCCAAGTTGCAACTTGGGGATACTCAAAGAAATGCAAAGTAAAGGAACAATGTCACTGGGAACATAAACTGGGATTCGTTGTTTACAAACCCTCCCATAGCTATGCACGGATTCAAAGATGTTCATAGAGGGATTGCTGAGGCAAGAAAAACTGCAAAAGCCTCCCCTCTGGTCATGCAAGTTACAGTACAGTATAAACACAGGGGACTATGAAGCTGGCAACACGATGCAGTCCATAGGTATCAACATAAAAAATTTACAACAGGTTTTAAAGTCAAGTCCCAGAGCTGTATGTATATTTGACTGCATGTCTGAAAAACATGGATGGTGGTGTCCTCAACTATGAATGATTGCTTTCTTTGGGGGGTAGGATTCCAGGGGACAGTCCCTGCCCAGATTTCTATAACATTTGAACCTTTTTACCAAGAGTATTACTTCTATAAGCAGAAAAACAAAGTTACAAATCAGAGCTAGTGGAGATACTAGTGAAAGACTTTGGACCAAGTCCAGGGAAAAAAACTGAAAACGGTCAAGTTATGCCAACAGGAGTTGTGTATCCTTTAAGGTAGGGGGAAAACCTCCAGGATAAGCCAAGTGGTGGCTCAGTGAGCAATCTGACCGGAAGGCAATCCTGCTGGACAGCTCACAGCGCTGGGCTGCTTCCTTCTGCGTCACTGCTGGGAGAGGTCAACTAGCCTCCCTCTGTGCAGCACTCAGCACCTCGGAGGAAAATGAGGGACTTCAGGATAGTTTTGTGAGACCCTTTTTATTTAGCTGACTAAGGACAGAAATTATTAAGTGAAATACTACACATAAAATTAAGAACCTCTTTTTCATGTCTAGAAAAAAACATGAAAAATCTATAGAAGACCAAAATACCCTTGGTAAGGAAAAAGTTGTTCAGCCCAGCATTATGCAGATTGTTTTTGCATGAGGTGGTTGGTGAGGGCAGAACGTCATAAGTTACTGCCTTGATGCCCCTTGTCCTGGCCTCCCCTACACTACAAAGAGAAGGGTGCTGGAAGGGAGGCCCACAGAAGATCAGCTGTGGAAGACACTGGCCACAGAATTCTCCCTCCCTCACTGTCTTCCTGAGTCCTAAGAGCCAGTGTCTTGTTTAGCTTGCGCCTGCTAATGAGCTCAGCTGCTCCTGGCAAGAGGCAGATGGAAGCAGTTTATGGTTTCACTAGATGACAATTGAATCTATTAACTTAATTACAGCCTTAGAGTAGAGTAATTTGTACACTGAGTGCCCCAGCCAAACGCAGAGGCAAAGGCTTCGGAGTGGAGAAGGGCCATGTTCTAAAGAGCACAGATCAGATGAGACAGCAAATGTACAGCATTCAGCCTGGGGCCCGGCACAAAGGGGGTGCTCATGGCAGGAGCAGTTACTACATAAAGGGCACAGTTAGGAAAAACAAAAAGCCAGTTGATGAGCAGAAGAAAAGTAGGAAGGAGCAATCTAGGAGAAACAGGCTTCCCATTGCTTCCCGGCTGTCAGACTGAATCAAATAAGCCTGTGGTACTTTTATTTAGGGGAAACCAATTTGCCAAAGAGCATATACGAGAGTATTTCAAAAACTTCATGGAAAGATAGAATTAAAAGACAATATGAATCTTCCCATAAACTTTTTGAAGAACTTTGTGTTCTAAACTAAACGTGCAGCAGGCAGGGTCTTCACCTGTGTGAACCAACACGGAGAGCCAAGAGTGGTCACCACCTGAGTTTACCCCATGGGGCACCCCTCCCTCCATACAAGGTGGGGAAATGGTAACTGTCAGGAAACTCGAATATTTAGTAAACTTAGCACAGTATGTATTCAGAGATGGAGACAGGAGATAGCAGTGACTGTGCCTGGAAACCAGAGGAAGCAGGCAGGGACACCATCTGCACTGAGGATGCCTTGGGCCACTGCTCAGAACAGCTACCCTGATGGGGAGGGTTGTTCTGTTTTGTTACCTCTTTTTTTGGTCAAATTATTTGTTGTTCTTTATCACATTAATAAGAGGGCTAATTAAAACTGTTATTTCTCAAGTGACAACCTTTGCTGCCTGGAATACTCTGCTAAAGACTATGTTGCATGTACTAACTAGAGCCCAAGAGTTTCAGAAGTAAAAAATCAAATGACCTTTTCAGGACTGACGGTGGGGACAGAGAACATTGGCCTGTTTATAACACCCCTCTTCTGCCTGTAATTCTGGCACTGCTTAGTTTTATAATGTCAAGTACAATATATGCCACATCCAGGCCACGTCTATTCAAGATAATTCCTTCTCCACCAGCTTGGTGGTCACGGTTCTGCCAGTCGATCTTGCCATCCCCACTATCACCACTTTCTCAAGAAAGGCAGATGGCCTGCAGCTCTGCATCAGTTCCACAGAGCAGAGGTCTGACCAATAGTTGCCACAGAATCTAACACATTTACTATATTCAAACAAATAAGACAGTAGAATTTGGCAGTTTGACTTTATAGTCTGAAAAAGCTACTGCATGCAACTTCTGTGTGTATGCGGCCCAATCACTATGTGAAACACACTTTACCTGCTACTTGAAACTTTTATCTGTTACTAAATAGGTAAATTCAGAACTCATTTCTTTCTCACACCATTGCTTTGCTCACGGTGGAACTGGTATCAGAACGAATGTGCCTCAGATATGAGCAAACAGGTTCTTACCTCCTCACAATCAGTAGCCATAAGAGGCACACATACTGTCACTCTGTCCTGCCCATGCTCTTGCATCAGGACATTAAGACATTGAGACATCAATGCATCTAGACATCAATCCATCAGAGTTGTCACATTCAACAAAACCATTCAATGTTACCTACTTTTCAAACTGCCAGTTGGAAATTGAGGATGGGGCTGTTCTAGAAAAACCTTAACTGGGGCCTGACTTTCCTGCTTCATGTATGCAGACTATCAAAACTAATTACAACTGCCAAATGCACACAAAAACGACAATAAGATAAGCAATCCAAGTCAGCACGGGGATGAGGGATGAGCTAGAACCACGACACTAAGGGGCCTCTGCTCAGTGCCCTGCAGCCCTGCTGCTGACACCAGCCTGTGCCTACACTAGTAGTGGTGCCTACACTACTCTGTCCACAAGAAGCTTGCTGCTTTGCTCTCCAGGAAAATCACTGGTAGATGATTCGAAAGAGAAAATCATAACTTCACCTATCTGTAAGATCCCAACGTTTAGACAGCTTTGCAAGTTTATGTTGTCTATTCAAGATAATTCCTTCTCCACCAGCTTGGTGGTCACGGTTCTGCCAGTCGATCTTGCCATCCCCACTATCACCACTTTCTCAAGAAAGGCAGATGGCCTGCAGCTCTGCATCAGTTCCACAGAGCAGAGGTCTGACCAATAGTTGCCACAGAATCTAACACATTTACTATATTCAAACAAATAAGACAGTAGAATTTGGCAGTTTGACTTTATAGTCTGAAAAAGCTACTGCATGCAACTTCTGTGTGTATGCGGCCCAATCACTATGTGAAACACACTTTACCTGCTACTTGAAACTTTTATCTGTTACTAAATAGGTAAATTCAGAACTCATTTCTTTCTCACACCATTGCTTTGCTCACGGTGGAACTGGTATCAGAACGAATGTGCCTCAGATATGAGCAAACAGGTTCTTACCTCCTCACAATCAGTAGCCATAAGAGGCACACATACTGTCACTCTGTCCTGCCCATGCTCTTGCATCAGGACATTAAGACATTGAGACATCAATGCATCTAGACATCAATCCATCAGAGTTGTCACATTCAACAAAACCATTCAATGTTACCTACTTTTCAAACTGCCAGTTGGAAATTGAGGATGGGGCTGTTCTAGAAAAACCTTAACTGGGGCCTGACTTTCCTGCTTCATGTACGCAGACTATCAAAACTAATTACAACTGCCAAATGCACACAAAAACGACAATCAGATAAGCAATCCAACTCAGCACGGGGATGAGGGATGAGCTAGAACCACGACACTAAGGGGCCTCTGCTCAGTGCCCTGCAGCCCTGCTGCTGACACCAGCCTGTGCCTACACTAGTAGTGGTGCCTACACTACTCTGTCCACAAGAAGCTTGCTGCTTTGCTCTCCAGGAAAATCACTGGTAGATGATTCGAAAGAGAAAATCATAACTTCACCTATCTGTAAGATCCCAACGTTTAGACAGCTTTGCAAGTTTATGTTGTAAAAGCGCTATTCAAATAACATCTTGAGGAGAGTTTAGGGCTTGAAGCTAGACGTCTGAGGCACTTGGCAAATAATACAGGACAATGTTCTCAATTGATTCTCAATGGAGGTGGTGTGCACTGTATGTTGAAAGTACTTTGTTACTAATAATAGTTAAAAGTACCCAAACCACAAATGCTTTCTTCTAAGTGTTACCCTCATTCCCTTGCATTTCTGCACTGTGTAACTAGAAGCCTACTTTATCAGTGCTGCAGCCCAGACCCTGCTGAGGGCACACATGTGAATGTCATCCAACATCAAGATGGACATGGCCAAGAAGCACCCAGCTACAGTACTGCATCAATTTGATTGTACTGTACTATTTCACACATACAACATCAAATATAACATTTTGTACAATATAAAGAAAGAGACCCTGACCAGAAAATAAGCAGAAGAAAGGAAAGGTACCATCCAGTATGAGGCTGGTAGAGGAAGGAAATACAGTTAAGCATCCCCTCCTGTCCTTACCCTGCCAGCCCCTGTGACCGCCAGACCTCGTGCAGGGCAGAGAACACGTTCCCACTCGCAGTGCTGGAACCAGCCTGCATGAAAAGACAGAGAAACCCATTATCTTCTGAGCCTCCCCAACTTCAGCCGGCTCTCAGACCCCCTCAGGTGTGTGACCTCCTAGCACCCTTATCTAGGACACAGTTTCAGAATGGGGAGTTCCTTCGCAATCAGAACCTGGCTCTCGCTCACCCAGAAGTGATCACATTCAGACACGTGGGCAAGCAGTGATGTGGCCTATGCCACAGGGGAAGCTGCTTTTCAGAGCTCACCCAGATTAGTGAGATACAACCGTGTAGCAGGAAAAAGACGGAAAGCAACATGACTTGATCTGAGAAGCATGGCAAGTAATCAGTATCAATGGTACTGATGAAACTTGCCTAAGTTAGCTAATAAACACATTTAACGAAGAGTACCATGTGCAATTTAAAACATGATCAACATTCTTAGGTTTTGTCCTGCCGACTTATATACTAGAATTCTGTACTTTTCCACAAGGATAGGACTTTTTAAAAATAGTTTTAGTCCAGATATGTAATATGTGTGGCATTCTTTGAACCCTAGTTTTTTTTTTTTTAAACAAAATTTTGTAACAGTTCTGACCACTGCCCTAACGCATCCAATTAAGGACAGGCATGACCTAAGTTCAGAGCCTACAGCTTACTTGCTGCATGGCATGAAGCTAGCCCCAACCCCTCTGGGCCTCAGGTTTGTCAGTAGTAAACATACAGATTATTCCAGGCAGAGGACCTACTTATTTACATAACGTAGGTAAAAGTGATTTTGAAATGGCAAATGCTATATAGACACTGGTCACAGTGATTACTGTGGATATTGTTCTATCGATGTCGGTTTTATCCACAGGCAGTGTAGGTGCTATTATAGGTAAGTGCTAGACCACCTTTACTCACTTTACAAACCTATAAGTCCTGGCACTAAAAGATACAAGCATCTGCTATGTCTATGTGACATTTCTTTACCACTTACCTTTGCCAACATAATTCTTGTTTTTGCCACATCCAGAGGTGTGGTAACTGCAGCTGCAAACCCACCTGTGCATATAAGAATATCCAACATGCAAGTGAGATACTCTGTACTGTACCATATGATAATCTTATAATTTTTATTTTATAATTCCTCATAACTTTGCCAAAATCACTTCTTTGTCATTATGTACACTTGACTGATTCAGGAATAGGACGCACACATGCAAAATCTTTGTCTACATGCTTATTTCTCTTGCAGTGATACAGAATTGCGTAAAGGTTTAAGATAATGCTTTAACCACTCAGGCAAAAAAAAAGGGAGAGGGCACCACCGCAATATATCTTGCTCTTTCAAGGACTAGCAAACTAATAAACTGATCTGAACACGTACATGACATATGTGTACATGGCTAGACACCCACTCTCAAAATGCGAGACACGCTGCTCCTAATGCTTCAGGGCAGCCGTGCCTTTCTTTGGACCACTGTTCTTTAAACTGACTCCAAAATGCTTCCATCATTTATGCTCTGCACATAGAAAAATGGGCAAATAGAAACACATGAATCACTGGGGATTTTTGGTGTAAAGGGCTGGATTCTTCAAGTTAAGAGAAAAGCTTACTGTATTTCACAGGCTCCAGGTAACAGGCCAGTTAGAGTCACTACATTTCTAAGCTCTCTTCTGCATCTTCTTAGAGTCAGTCTTGCTTCAACAGGCATACTGCCTGATGGCTTCCTTCCTACCTTTTCTCTCATATTCTCTTTCTCTGAATATCGTGACGGCCAAATTGCCCACAGATTTTAAAAGGGTCTGTATCGATGGATAGAGAAATTGAACTTTGTTTTTGTTAATGCAAACGACAGTTTATGGTGTCAGTATTGTACTTAATATGATACGGAGATCTATTCTAAACCCCAAGAGGCCCTAAGGAGATAGAAACAGTAAATTCTAAAGGTCTTTCAAAAGACTCAGCTTCCACGAGCTCAGGGGGAAAGAGGCAGTTTTACAAGGGCTGAACACAACATGTGTGTGTGAAGGGTGCTCCAAAAATAGCACAACTTTCCAACTTTTGTGGCTTGTGAACAAGAAGGCTATTTGATCTCTGCCAAATATCTTTCTAAATATGTTGCTGAAATAAGATCATTGCACGGAACCTCCGCCATATGGTAACATTTATGATGACACTGACTTTTTAAAAGGTACACCTATTTATGCTTTTGTGTTCCATTTTTGGTTACCCATAAATGTCACACCCCTTAGGGCTAGGGAGCATCAATTAACATGAATATTAGAATCCCCTTTTCGCCACCTGTGGATTACAAATATGTGAAATGCTTTGTTTCAAATTCAAAGGTTGCCTGAAATTCAGAGACTTGCTGAACTTGGGGTATTTAAAAATTTGGTGGACCCAGTCCTGAAATCCTCTTTTAATTTTTTCTTAACCACATATTCTGCACTAGAAGAGTAAATATACTTTAATTATAGAACACAGTCCAGGAAAGCTTCACATACATCCATCAAAAAAAAAAAAAAAATCCTCAGAAAGGAAAAGGGAGAAGGAAAGAAAGGCAACAAACATTATCTCAAACTTCCCACCCTGAAATATTACATCTGATTTTGTTTCCCTCACCAGCAGCAAGGTCTAGCAGGTTCTGGCCTGAAAGAACCCTTCTTTTTTGCTGTTGTTTTTGTGGCTGGCCAGCAACAGGGATCGAACCCTGGACCTTGGCATTATCAATACCGTGCTCTAACCAACTGAGCAACCGGCCAGCCCAAAAGAACCCTTCCCTGGAGTCAGAAAGACCAAGGCTTAAATCCCTGCTCTACCACTTGACTGGCTTTAGGTAAATGATTTATTCTCTAGTTAAAGTAGCTCATGAGGTAGATAGTCCTATGACTCTACGCTACAGGTGGGAAAACAGAAGCTTATATAGGCTAATAACTCCTAGAAAGAGTGAGTGCAGGGTTGAGACTTGATCTTAATTCTGACTCCAGAACCAGAGCTCTTGGCCACTGGTCTTCTAGTGGCCTCAGTTTTTCATCTATAAAATTCAAATAGTGATACTACACAGGGATTAAATGGGTCTACGCAAAGTGTCTAGAATAGCGCCTGGCTCGCAGTAGTGCTCAAAGTAATTAGCTCTTTCCTGGGTGGGCAGAGACAATGAGTGGTTTTCTTCATAAATCTTGCCTAGCACACACAGGAGGCACTCAAAAATGCTTAATGGGTGCTTTGGACAAGTGTCTATAGTTTTTCCAGATTGAAAATTTCAACTCATCCTCCAAAAGGGAGGGAAGATGAAGGTAGAAGCTAATATCTGTGCTGTACTCACTCCATATCTGGCATGCCAGGAATGCACTAGGCACTCATTGATTATTTTCTCTCACTTGCATAGGTATTACTGTTCCCATTCTACAATAGACTTGCCCAGGATGGAGCTGGCACTCAAAGTCACGTGTATCTTGACTCCAGTAGTAGTAGTCTTTCCACTGCATGACGGCTTTCATACAGGATAAGACAAATTAAAACTTGCAGGACTGTTAAAATGCATTTTCCTATGTGGAAATGTTCACAAGCTATCTTAAACCAATTAAAAAGACCTAAAAATTGACAAGGGACATATAATAAATTTGAATACTTCAAATCAAACTTATTTTAGCCATTAGCAAAAGTTAACCATTCCTTTACTGTGGATGTCTGCCAATATTCTCTTAGAGATTTATGTTTTGTGAAGATAATATGAACAGAAGTGAGAGACAGAAACACATATGCTTACATAGGTCCTAATTTTACTGCCATGATGGAAACTGTACTAATGTAAGTTATTGATAAACCAATTTGAATGTCCTCAAATAGCAAAGATTTCCTTAATTCACAGATCTCACAATGTTTTTTTTATAAGGCTACAAGAAGGACTTGTGAAGATAATATAGTAGAATAACTGGCCAGAGTGGGGAAGAGGTAGGGACCTGAAATTTCTGTTAAAATGTAGTTATGTTCTATGTTTTAAGGGAACTGTAAGCTACTGGTAATAAATACAAGGAACATGCTAACATATCAGACAGAAAATAATTATTTGCTACAGCAACTATAGGCTGCTTTAGTGTTCAAATCACATGTGAAACCATCTTCTATGGTCTTCACTAGAGTTAGGTTTTGACTAAACGTTAGGCTAACTGCTTTGAAGGACTAGCTTCAGGGGAAACGACTTATTATAAAACCACATCTCACATTTCCTTGGGGAACAAATGCAGATTCTTTATGCTCTCACAGGCGAAGCAGCCACCTTCCTACAACAGGTCTGGCGCTGTCACGCCTGAGGAGCAGCCGAGCAGCTGGTGGGGCAGCAGTAGGGAAGCCCCAGCCCAGCCCTGGGGGCCGTGCTGCCACTTGCTGCTTCTCCAGGCCCTGCTCTCCTGACGGTCAGGGAGGAACAACAGTGCCTGCCCGCCCCTCCTCTGCGTGATCTCCCAACAAGCATCCAGGTGTGGAAGACTTCCACGACAACAACAAATGCCTTTTTGCTTGTGTTTTAAACGCTTGTGTCAGGCCTTCTCATTTGTTACCCAAATAATCCTTCGCCCTATTCTAGAATTTCAAGCCCATGAGGAGACTGAGAGCTCTCTCTCCCTACCCACCTCACCTCTCTTAGAGAATGTAAGCAGGTGTTTATTACAAGAAATTGATCAAAAAATACTAGAGTACGAGGATAACTACAGTAGCAAATGTCTTACTTAGACTGCATTATACTTTTATGTTTAGAAGTTAACTTGAAATAAGGAAGTTGGCAATGTCCTTTCTTCCCCCCTAGTTTAACCCCTGACCAGAAGCCAAGGGAATTTCTAAGCATGACAAGCCATCAACACCTTCAGTCTCAAAAAACATTTTTGGATATTTGTGCCAAGTAGTTTATAAAACAAGCATGGGCAAGGAAGACTGCCAGGAACGGCACAGAGAGTAGTTGATCTGCAATGATTTAGCCAATTTAAACTTGGAAACACACACAGGCATGAGAAATCTGATTTCTGAGTTTAGGGCAAGTTTTATCGCTGCCTTTATGGCCATGTAAGGGCAGAGAGTCTGTAAGTGCAGCGTGTACGCGCCTTAAAGGGGCTGCCCAACATGGCAAGTCATTATTCATTTCTCCATACTGTGTAGTGCTGTGTTGCAACAAACCCTTACAGAATAGCACTTTTTCACAATTTGGAATATTTTCAAGTGATGTTTATCCCCTTAAAGGGGCTGCCCAACATGGCAAGTCATTATTCATTTCTCCATACTGTGTAGTGCTGTGCTGCAACAAACCCTTACAGAATAGCACTTTTTCACAATTTGGAATATTTTCAAGTGATGTTTATCCCTCAGAAACGTTTTAAAATAGGAACCTTGTTCCTCTGGATCAACATTTGTGCCACATAAAATTTCAAAACAAAAAAGGATATAAACAAGAAATGTATTTATCTTTTGCAAAATATATATGGATCTACTGACAATGGGTTTCTTTGAAGGCTTTGGACAAACTCCTCGAACTTATTAGAACCTCAGCTGAAAAAATAAGATCATTGTATTGGAGAAATTTAAAAAGCTACAAGCTGTAAGAGGAGATTTTTCTGTATAGTAACTTTATTAATAGGATAGTATTCTTTCAGTGTAACTGAGAAGACGAATGATTGTGATAACAGCTTATCACTTTCTGGGCGCTGGTGGTTCTTATTGAAAGAGTAATAACTCTTTACATCTGTTTGATTTGACAGACTACAAAGTACTAACACATACATTATCTCACTTAATCCCTTAAGATAGGAATGGTTGCTACCATGTTACAGGTAAGGAAACTGGCGCTCAGAAAGCCTCCAAGGTCTCACTCCTGAGATGGAAGCAGACCAGAGACTTGCCAACCTTATAAGTCATACAGCTCAGCCTGCGCTAGACGTGTGACTTCGGGCAACTCACTCCCCTCTCCGCATCCCAGTGTCACTTCTGGTGTCAGTGGAGCTCAGGCTATGATGCTGCTCCTCAGGAGGGCCACCTTCACTGAAGGGGCCTGAACAGTACGTTCCCACCACATATGGCAGATGCCTGACAAAGTTTCCTTCTGTCCCTCCTGGCAAAGTTAGTGCTTAGGGCCTATTACAGAGTAGTATTCAGAAAAAGTAACTAATGAATGCAGAATTCCTTAATAGTAACAATGTATCTGCAAGCAAATCTTTGCTTGAGCTATTTAAGGAATGGGATCAGAAGATATAGGTTCTTACTTCAACACTGAAAGTTGTGTATAGTATTGTTAACTTTAAGAAGTAGCCTTCCCTATCCAGGATGACTAAATTTCCATAATGCTCACTCCCCAGGATCCAAGAGGGAGTCAACAAAACTGCACATTTCTCTTAGGGATTGGAGAATAAAGACGCCTAACCTCTGGAAAACTAATCAGGACCACCTACTTATTTAACACAACTAATGAGTATGTGTCATGTGGAAACAATTACCCATCATAATCAGTCTGGATTAGTTTCATGTCTAGAGGCAAGATTCTTATTTTTGATGATCAATTCTATAAGCCAAATGGGTTTAATTATTAATAAAGAATCCTACGAAATGTATATTTTGTTTTCCTAATAACTACAACAAAAAACCCAACCCCACAACCATTAAACAAATTCGAAAAGAACTATTTTCCAATAAAATTGATACCCTAAACCTACCTATCTTTCAGTTTACTGGTTTTACATCTAAACAGTTTACAATTGTCTGACAAATTTTCACTTGTTTTCAACTGTAATTCTAATTTACCTTTCTTTGTAACAAAAAAAATATATATATATTTCTCTTATGGGCTTTAAAAATGCATCACTTATAGATTCGTTAAAGCAGCTGAGTTCTCATTAAAAGCTCACTGGAAAATTCATATGACTCAGTGATGGATAACATAATATTGCATATTGTCACTTTGCTCTTGCTTTAATGTCTAGAAAATGCCCAGATGTTTAAATGGCCATATTTTCTACACAGTGTGGTTTAGCCTTCAGTGAGTTGTGGAGTAGCCTCTGCTCTCCTGACACTAGTTAATCGACAGTGCTGTCAAACATGTCACACAAACCGTGAATCACTGCTTTCTGCAGAAAGTGCTTAAACCTCCGGCACAGCTCAAGGCAGACAGCTGCACAGTTAGCCCTGCACCCACAGCAACTCTCTTCCCACAGAGAACTTTATAAATCATCTTTAAGATAATCCAAGGGCCTGAGTGAAGTCTTTAATAAAGATAAAAAGAAAAAGAAAAAATTTGTCAAAACAAATTGGTTGTCTTTCAGGGAGACAGCTTTTTAGCAGTTTTTCTTCTAAGACACTTTTTTTTCTCAAACAACTAGTGGAGCTCTCTTCATCTAAACAATCCGGAATTTCCAAAGAATGTTGTTTTTGCATCGCTAATATTTTCACATTTTTCTCCCCCTCTTTGGTCTTTCCCAGTATAATATAATCCTTTGCACCTGCAAAAGCTCCACAGACTGCTGACTGCCAAGAATCCACCACATGATCCTGCCGCCAGGACCAGAGGGCCTGTGTTTAAGGAGAAAAAAAAAATACAAGTTATTAAATATTTGAATTTATCGGAACCTCCTGTGAGTTAACTCTGGGGATGGGAACTTAAGTGAGAAGCTATTTTGGTGGCATTCTTCACTGATGACATAAGTGACTTTCCCAAGGACTTAACTGCATTCTAAAATAAGTCAAAGAAACAAGGGTGATAGCTACATTAGAGTGCTCAAAGGAAACAATTTTCAGGGAGTAAGTATGATACACACACACATACGTGTGTGTGTGCACGTATCATACATACACAGATAAAAATAATGATACTATATCTTTAAGATGATGAAATATTTTTAAATATTTCCCCTATAATTCTAAATATGTAAGTACCATAATTCACAAATTAGTCCAGAATACAGAACACCAAATTCCTCAGTTCTTTTTAAAATCCTTATGCATATTCACGTTTGAAGGATGCTAATTCTGTTACCTAAGTATTAATTTTAAATTTGTCAAAACATTTTTTGTACTGTTCATGTAATATATTGAGGATTATCCAAATATCCATACCAAGTTTCAAACTGAGCAAAATGATGGCAAAGACATGGTGCCTTGCTCACCACGAGTTTATGATCTAGTGGGGGACGAAATAAAGTCACATGAAATGGTGAACAGTGCTGAATAAGGCACTGGTCTTATCTCTGATCATATATTTAAACCCACAGTTCTCACAACCGCCACCCTAAGAGTCGGGTCCTATTATCCATCTTTGAACCAGGCTTTCTAACAGCAGAGCCTGCACAATTTTTTTTTCTTAGCTTTAGTGAGGTATAATTAACATCCAATAAGCCACACACATTTAGAGTATGCAATTTAATAAGTTTTCACACAAGCACACACACATACACACACACAAAATCATGGCCACAATTAAGATACTGAATTCATCCATGACCCAAAAAAGGTGTCTCTGTGTAAAAAAAAGTTCTCTTGTGTCCTTTCTTTCCTGCCCTTCCTTGCTATCCCTAAGTAATCTGATCTTTCTGTCTCTATATTATAGGCTAGTTTTATCTTTTCTAGAATTTTTCACAAATGTAATCATACATTAATTTTTTTTAAACTGGCTTCTTTCATTCAGAATTATTTTATCATTCATCTATATCATGCAGATATCGATAGTCCATTCCTTTTTTTTTTTTCATTTTTTTCATTTTTTTTTTAAAAGATGTCCGGTAAGGGGATCTTAACCCTTGACTTGGTGTTGTTAGCACCACGCTCACCCAGTGAGCAAACCGGCCATCCCTATATGGGATCCGAACCCGTGGCCTTGGTGTTATTAGCACCGCACTCTCCCGAGTGAGCCACGGGCTGGCCCTAAATGATTTTTTGTTTGTTTTGTTTTGTTTTGTTTTGTTTTTTCCTTTTTGTCTTTTTTACTAACCGGTAACGGGATCGCAACCCTCGGTGTTGCGCC